AGTCGAGATATTTGTTCACTTCTCTTGTCTTTGATGAAAATCCTCCATGTTTCTTCAACAGAAGTCGAGATATTTGTTCACTTCTCTTGTCTTTGATGAAAATCCTCCATGTTTCTTCAACAGAAGTCGAGATATTTGTTCACTTCTCTTGTCTTTGATGAAAATCCTCCAAGTTTCTTCAACAGAAGTCGAGATATCTGCGACTGAGGGAGGCAGGGGTGGATGGGTGGTACAAGTTGTAATATTAGCGATAAAATGGCCGCCAAAGTTTGGTGACTTTCAAAACTCGAGTGCCCTTGGAAATTGAAATTGTATATATTTTTCTTGTTGTAGATCTATGTCTATTTGTAAAGTACTTCAACGTTTTTCAGTAAAATCTACAGAAAACTTTGTTTCTAAATGAACATTTTATTGTAAGGGTTGAGCGTGTGAAACATCGATAGGACTTGCCCAAAGGGCGGGGGGGGGGGGCACTATCTTGGATGTTATTTGTCTGACGAGCGTCTGATTTCCCCATGATGTCTCAAGTTTTGTCACTAGAGAGCAACTCCGTGCGAGGCCAAAGTGGGTGGATTCTGTCATTAGAAATAAAGTCTAGGAAAACCCCTAGAGTGATACAGCGCTTGATTGACAGTGAACTGAGTGTTGGTTGTCTCGAGTCCTGTTGCTCGCTTCGCCCGACATTTCGTTACTCTAGAACCTCAAAGTACTGTCTGGTCACGGGTTCCAATCCGGGTAGCGACCGAAAAATTTTCGAATCTAAAATTGTCTCCATTCACCTCCTTTCCTGCTCTTAGTCTACAATGTTCTGTCGTCTGCTTTCGTCTCCACTTTCTGTCCCCATCCCTCACCTCCTTTGCCCCCTCCTCTGAGCCTGACTCTTTCTGTTGCCTTTCTACCGAAGTGCCGAAAATTAGAGGTGTTACAAGAGAGTAACAAACACTAAAGATGAAGAAGGAAAGATAAGGACGATAGATTATGTTTGATAGGAAAGAAGAAGCAAACCACTCCAGAGCACCCGCCAACCACCCACTCAGTGCAGGGTTTGTGCCAACAACTCACTGCACGTGCACGCCCGCCGTCACTGCACTCACCCGTCACTGGGGGAACTTGATGGGGGCAGGAAGGATGGGGCAGGAAGGATGGGGCAGGATGGGATGGGGGCAGGGTGGATTGGGGCAGGATGGATGGGGGCAGGATGGGATGGGGCAGGATGGATGGGGGCAGGATGGATGGGGACAGGGAGGATGGGGCAGGATGGATGGGGCAGGAAGGATGGGGACAGGGTGGATGGGACTGGGAGAAGTGAGGATGGGGCAGGAAGGATGGGGACAGGGTGGATGGGGCAGGAGAGG